AATACTTAGGACTAAGAATGACTCGTTGTGGGGGCACAGATCCCTCTCAAACTACACCAGAACAGAGCTCGCGGCGCGCTCTTTCGAAATATCCAATCAGCGACGTCAAAATCAACTCGAGACAGACGACATTTCATTTTGAAATTGTCTTTGAAATACTATTAGTCGACATGTCAACCCTCCCCCAAGTCGGGCGTTTATTTTGGAACGGAGGAAGTAACTAGTTAATACTTCCAGTAAACCAAACCGACAATACGACAGAGCCTTTGTGGGCGAGTGATTGAAAACCCTTCATTTCTTTCCCATTGGCAATCCTTCAGTAGCATGGCCAGCCTCTTCTATGCTTCGGACACTACAGATTTTTCGCGGAGCCATTTGCTGGTAGATCAGCTTGCTCGTCGAATGGCCAAAGATTGAATTGACCTGTCGTTTTGTCTCGCACAATCATTTAAAACAATGAATTTTGTATTGGAGTTTGCATTACTTCACTCAATATTTCTTCACGACTTCCTGAGCGAGTCACACAATTTGGATAAAAACTACAGGACAGCGTTTTCGCTGCTGGCAAGCCAATGTTACACGTCATCACGTGTGTTGCTAAAGCAATTTGTGGGAGCAGTCTACGGTTTTTCACATCCTTATTGCGCGAAGTTGGCGTACATAGTTATTCAAAACAACGAACCAGATATTTCTGTCGCTGTGAGCAAACCTCAAATCAATGAAGATGGTAGAATGTATGTTTTGACTTAATTAATGATTGAGTAAAGTTGTCTTCTTGGAGCGATAAAATGAAAACAATATCATTCTGGTGCGATGTTCGAGGCGTTGCTGAATTTAGATAGATATGGTTATAGTTAAAGTGTCGTCACAGCGAATGACAGCGGGCACCAAAACCGGGAAGGCAAGCTTACTTTGGCATCATGTGCGACAAGGTTGATCATTTAAGGATAATACCATAAAGCCACTTGGATACAAATGGTAAGTAAACTACGTAACAGCAACAACATATCTATTTTTGTTTGACGACAGCAAGATCTTGTTGTACGATGTCATGTGCTTGGACGTGGATGATATTGCCATCGATTGGCTAAAAGTAAATTGAATTTCATGAGCATGGTTGTTGGATGTCCTTAATATTACTCCCTCTGTCCCACAATAATTATGCGACTCAGAAAAGTGATGTACTTACCTCGAATAAAATACAGTCACTTCAAGACATTATACTCGGTATAAATTTCACAAGGTGTACCAGTGTCCAATCAAATCCTTCAAAATACATGTCTTAGAACCAATCAAAAGTCGGAATAGGCGAGAACGTTCCTACTGAGCCTTACACTTTCACGCAATACCCACACCGCACACTCTTGTAGGTACTTATTCATCACTGTCCATGTCTATTGGTTCTATTCCTACTTCGGTCATTGCAGAGATGAAATATTCCATCGCCTCAGAGTCGCTTAGGGTAATGCACTCGAGCTCTCGTTGCTACAGTAGCTACACACACTTTCAAGTAACCATGAGAGACGCCTTGGGCCTTGGCCAACGCAATGATTCGGCGTATAGTAGACAAGTGGCTCTGGTACTTTGCAGCCAACAACTGAGTTGTGCCTTTAGGCAGCCGGGTGGGAAAACCGTTGTTGCCTTGGAGCAGGACTTTCCGAAGGACGACTTCGCGCTCATCGTTCGTCAGGTCGTGCCGTGTTGATGACATTTTGAATGTGTGTCATTTCTGATGTATGATTTACATGGAAGTTTGTATGCTGCCTTTGACTCGGCAAAAATGACCCGCGTTTTTGAGATTCGTGCTCAAATTTTGCACTCTTAGAAAGCTCTTGGCGCGCTTTGTGCGATGATCCAATCAGAGGTGTCGATTCCCGAATTGA